ACAATTGAGCATCTCGATACCACTGATTTTCCAAAGTGGCTTCCCCCAGTTTCCCTCCTCCCATACTGTTTTTGCCCCGCACGTAAATGACGAAAAACACTTGCACCGCCGGGGACTGAGTGACGCTATTTCAATGGCAAAGTGGTCTCTCCTAAACTTTTTGGATTGGTCTAACTTGCCAAATCTTGAAAGCATCAAGGCAAGAAGATAAAACCTGCTGGAGCAATAAAATCATTGGAATGTCACTTGAGACTGGAATAAATCAGTATTAAGAGTAGTATTGTGCCCAATCAAAGACTCTCAAAATATTATCTGTTGCTTACTCTGTTTGTAGGTGTACCGTAAATAATAAACATCACTGCATCGGTCCATCCTCATATTTTTACTTAGTGAAGTGTTTGAAAACGTCCACAGTGAGTCCACTGATTGACATGTTTTGAAGTTATCTGCTACATGTATTTAGGTTTATTTCGATAAATAGTTTAATTCTGTTTAATTCTTTTTCAAACAGCCTCGGGGAATGGAGTAACTTTCAGAGCAAAGACAAGTTACGTGGAGTACCATTTCAACACGACTTCGGCCTTCCTAGGAGCCATATTTCAACTTGAATTCTCCTCCACAAGTTGCAAGGGAGATTTAATACTTGTGACTAGTAGAGACACAGATAACTTTTTCAAAATTTCTTTGGAAGAAGAAGATAAAGTCAATTTTTATTACAAACACGAAGATGGAGATTTCAACTTGCGAATATCTCCATCTCACAACAAAACGTTTTGCGATGGGCAAAGACACAATATTGAGGTTAAAAGATATGGAAAGATGGTCACTTACAGCACTGATGGTGGTGAGGAAATGCAGACTAAAGACACAAGTGTCAAAATAGCCATCTTTAGTAAACCAGATAAGATCACCCTCGGAGGGTCCAATGACAAGTTTGATGGCTGCATGTTCAGTGCATTGGTCCTTTTCCATTGGAAAACCGACTTAAGTAAGAATGTCAGCGTTAACATTATAGAGCGTTACCTCAAGAGGGATCCCAGGGTTCATTCTGCTGCTGTGTTTCCCGGAGCTTGCCCTAACTCTAAATCACCCGCAAAAGGTGATTATGAAATACGAGGTAAGCCATTAAGTATGTTGTAAAATGATGTAGCTGCCATAGAAGCGGTCCGTATAACCAATGACACATCATACCGAACTGTTCATAAATTCTTTCGATGAAATTACAAAGTTTAGTAGTATTTCCCTTGCATGAAAAGGTTTTTCGATCATTTTGCCTCCTCTCTACCAAGGATTTTAAGTGGAGACCATGCCAGCTTTAATTTAGTTCAAGACAGGTCGCTATGTTTTCACTAACAGTCCCATCTGAAGTCCTGCCACGTAGCTGGATGGGCCAGCCTCGATAAACCTGGTACTGAAGTCATGTGGACTTTTGTGCGAACACTGTCTGTACTCTAAAGATTGGCATCTTGTGGAAGATCTGAACATGTTTTCACCATGCATAGCCGGTTCAAGTCAGAACAATGTAGTTTTATCGGACCGACAGAGCTATGGAACACCAATTCCGGATTGAATATACAGAACGCGCAAAGCTCTTAGTACCTAAAAACTATTCAACATTGGTACCATTTTTGTTCCTATACATTTAGAATGTACACGTTCCAACACCGACATCTCCATGACAACGGACCGTGGTGTGATAGCCAGTCCCCAACCACAAGAATCAAGCCACATCAGTAGATGCGTATGGCGCATCACGGCCCCAGCTGAACATTGATTGAAGTTCACATTGCTCTTTTATAACATCAGCGGATTTGTGTCCTGTTTACGTTCTAAAAGTGAAGTCGTTGTCTATAACGGAATATCTTCTGCTTCGAATGTTCTTGAACGGTTCTGTTTCCCCAAATCGAATACAGTGGTGTATACACGAGAACGTCAGATGATGGTCGACATGACTTTACCCGACAGCATCTACCTTGATTTCATTGGCGCTTATGAAGTCGTGAAAATGGACGAAGGTAACTCATATGATACCGCTGAAACTATCTACAACGGCCATCTTGAGGACAAGGGAAAGTAAAGTAGTTGTGTAACATGTCACCTGTTCTTTTCCGGATTACAATATTTATAGTTCAGAAACAAAATGCTTATTGTAGCATATTAATACGGAACCCAATAAAAATACATCAAAACAAAAAGTATAAACAGAAACAAAGACCAACGACGCGTAGTTCGGATCAAGTTTAGTGACCTTTTCCAATTAAAAGTGTGGTTTTGTATATACACCGTTCGTCCGTCATTGATGAACTAGCCCTTGTCGAGAGGTTATTTTGGCAGGTGGGACGCGTTTTAGTGGCCGTTGCTGTCGTAGAGAAATTAAAACAAGAGTGCATGTACGGGCTTTCCGCTGGGACCAAAAAAAAGTGGCCGCGTTAAAGAGAGGTGGCCATTATTAGAGGTTTGACTGCAATTTAATGACAAAGGTTCTGAAAATGATTGAAACAATATGTCAATGAACATGGGTGCATGGTATGATGAAAAGTATAACTTTCTTATCTCTAACATCCAATCAACAAACAGGAACCTAACAAACATGTCTGGAATATTGACTAGTCCAGATTTTCCACACAATTACGGATTTGAACATGACTGTACCTGGATCATATCAGTACCAATAGGACATCACATTCTTCTTTCATTCGATATGGGTGACTTCAACATTCATCCGTGTAACAAGAGCTGTGCCTGTGACTTTCTAGAAGTTCGAGCTGGAACAACTTCTAAAGGAAAGTTTATTGGAAAATTTTGCGGTGCTACCCCGCCCTCTCCTATTTATGTTAGCGGACGCGAAACCTGGCTTCGTTTCGTAACGAACAAACTTACGAACAATAAAGGATTTCGCACAACGTATAAAGCCATCCGAAGCCTTGCAGGTAAATGCACGTATCAATATTTTGAGTCGCAATCTTCTCTCACATATATATGTCCAATAATAAGTCATTCTTCTTATCAATCTGTTGTTCATCAGCGATGTGTGAGTGCAATGATCGACTAAGACACATTATTTTTTGTACTTCAGCTAATGACGATACTTATTAAAAATGAGTGGTGCCTTGAACTTTAGAAAATGGATTTTTAGGCCTAGCCACGTTTACTGCTGTCAACGGATATCTGTGTGTTTTACCTAAATAAGAGACAGTATCTTTCAGTCAAGCAAATCACTTCGAATCATCGTAAAATAAACCACTTGCATCTCTTAGAAAATGATTGTTTTTTACGCATTGGTGTTATGGAACAGTGACATTTTTATGTACAGCTATAAGCTTCCATGCACTTACTATAGCAATCACTAAATTAGATTCAATGCATTAGTCGTTGTTTCCTCTTTCTTCAGACGAATGCCCAAGGAACAGGACATTTACGGATCGTCGTGGGTATGTCCATAGCCCAAGGTTTGCTTTAGATTATCCAGGCAAGATGGAATGCATATGGAGAATCCGCGTTCCTAAGGAATACAGAGTTAGTTTTGTATTCTTAGCTCCGATCAATCTTGATCCAAACTGTACTGACGTTTTGGAAGTTAGAGATGGCCTAGATGTAACCAGTCCATTGCTGAATCGGTACTGTGGCTCTACCAAGGCTCCGCCGAACATCTTTTCAAGCGGAAGAGCATTGTTTGTACGGTTCAAGTCTGACAGCTATCTTCGTGGTTTCGATGGCTTAAACCCAGGATTTCGGGCCACATACTTTGCTACACGTGTCAAATCAGGTATGCTAAGCTGCTGTCTAGATTTAGAGTTTTTGCAGTTGGAAGGTCGACTGCATTATGAGTAGTAGTGGCTGTTGTTATGGAGAAAAGTTGCCTCCATCACCAGCGAAATATGTTTAACCGAGCACGATATAAGAATAGTTGTCCCTTTTGCATGACCGAGTCTAAAATTGGCTCCTGAGAAGTGTCGTAGACGCAAATAACCAAAGAGCCAAAGGGTTTGTATGGTAAAAACTGGTTCAACTCCAAGTATCGTACCTTTAATAGCCCTTTTCACTGTTAACTTTTCTCATTTGCATTACAATATAATTGAACATAATCTAGCGTGGATGTGAGGCAATTCGGGCTATTTTGTTGTTTCACCCCGAAATTGCCTGGCATCCACGTTGAAATACGTTGTAATGCAAATGAGAAAATCTTACCTTGAAAAGGGCTATTGCTTGTGATCCTTGAGCTACTTATATAGGGTCACCTAACCCCATCTTCCCACCTGCCCTCAGACTAAAAACTAATAGCTTTCTTACTTCTTGCAGGTGCAGCCTTCTTCAAGACAAGTTTATCCTTAATACCTCTGCTGGTTTTCCTTTTTAAATATTGTTGAACTATCGAAACAAAATTACTTCAGTTTTCATTTACAAAAATGTTAGTCGTAACACCTTTCATAAAAAGTTCATACATGGGCTCCAATAGCCTTGGGGAGTATACAGTGATAGAACTTCACTCAGCTGGTCGCAAGGACATGCAATGTCCAATAGAAAATCGAGCTTTGAACAATTAATGTACCGATCAAAATCGGAGATCAAAATTACAAATCGATAAATAAACATTTCAGTTCGTGATGTGGTTTTTTCGCAACAACACTGAATAGTAACAGTCCGACGGAAAAGCAAATGACAGTCATTCAGTCAACCAGTCAGTCAATCAGTCATTCAGTCAGTCCGTGAGTCATTCAGTCAGTCACTGTCAGTCAGTCAGTCAGTCCGTCACAGTCAATCAGTGAGTTAGTCCGTTGAGCCTTTCAGTTTGTCAGACTATCAGTCTCTTGCGCTGTCAGTCTACCCGTCCGTCAATCATTAATTAGTTAGCTAGTTAGCCTGCTAATTCCCATCAGAGCCCAACAGTTTAGCAGAGGACAACAGAACATGACTGTGCAGTTACAGAGGTGCTGCTCAAGCTCAGCGAGAGAATGAAACCAATCATATGATAAAGACGTAATTTAATTGGACGTTTAAGTTCATTGAAATTAAATAATGGCGCTGCTGTTTAAATGATTCACGGTTGTAATGGTTTAGTGAGCACGGCCACGTGCAAAGTTTATCCATAGTCTTTACAGGAGAATGGTTATGAAACCCAGCAAACATCAAAGAAGCAAACAAAGATCCCAAGATGTATGTTGGAAGGTCCACCACCGTGCACAATCTTTTGTTTTGCGCTCATACACCGTAGCCAAAACGTTTCTATTGGTTAGTTCCCCAGTACGAAGTAAACAACTATTGTGTTTTGTGCACGGTCAAGGCCAAAAAAGAGAACAAAAACATACGACAAAGAACTTTGTCGTTTTTCATAACCATTCCCCTCTAGTGACTATGGTTTATCTAGAAAGCCAAAAGTAAAGCAAGCAATAAGAATGCAGCAAAGCAAAGTAAACCAGATTACCTATTCGGAGGTTACCTTCGGAACAGCGATGACTTGGTCCCAGGTCGCTCATCCGTTCCGATGAATATGTCTCAACTAGATGACGCTTTTCACAAATAAATGTCATTTGTATCTGAATGAATTCTACGCATAATGTTTCACCCATGAGTGCCCATGGAACCGGGTGACTAGCTGTCTTTGAGCTAAAAAACAAACACGCTTCATGGCGTAATCATTTGTAACAATAGGTACAAAGGTTTTAAGCTCATTTATGCTTATCTGATCATTGTTTCGCTTTGCGCCGTAGAATGCGTGTAGTTGGAGGTATGTCATTAGATTTTAAAACCTTAATCTTCATTGTCACAGTGTTGCCACACTAAGACAAAGTGTTTCGAGGTTTATGAAGGACAAATATCTAGGATATTGAGACAGCAAAGTAAGTGTTGACGAATCTCTCTGTCATTCGATGCTTACTCGTATTTGATGACCTCATGAACAGTGTAGACGACTTGCACTCACAACAGTGAGTTATATTTCTCTATAGCTTGGCACTAAGCACTGTTCTCGTCTACAACACATGAATCCCGCTCTCAGAGTTTACTTTCTGCTGGCCGTTCTGTACAAGGGTAAGTTCGAAATTTCATTTGACGACTCTATCATCTATGTACGCAGCCATAACGAATTTGCTAGTTCGCCACTGTTTCATGGATGAATGAGTAAACCTTCAATATCGTATAACTACGAATTTATTCAGGGGTTGATTACTAACTCATAATTATTTCCAAGTGCGAGAAAGTCAAAGCTTAGTACAGTTACTGTTTTACTCGATGAGCACCTGATCCCACTCCACCTCTACCTCCCCTCCCTCCTATAAAACCATGTCTTCCTTGTTTCATACTAACTTCCTAGCAGAAAAATAGGACAACTTCAAACATAAAATTAGGAAATAATAATGCAAGCAATTACTAACACCAAGTGAATCCGAATTGCAATAGCTTTCCTTCTACAGTTTCTGACTACATTACATTTTCATCCCATCTCTCTCCCCCCACCCCATCTGCTTCCAAAAGAAGATGGTCCGACACAGGTTTTTTCAGTCCCGCATCCCACCACTATTTTTGCCTCAATCGCGCCATCCCGCCCCTCTCAGAATGTTTATTCCAATGTCGCCTTAGTAAGAGTAGCAGTTCTCTGCGTAACTTCTGTAACGTGTGATTTTCCGCTTTTCATCCCGCATAGCGCTGTAAATTTTAAAACTATCCCGCATCCCGCCAAACCTGTGTTGGGCCCTCAAAGAAAACCTGGACTTATTTTTGAGAGTTACTATTTCGTACTAATTTCCTTCAACTAAGAAAATAAAGTAATAACAGATAGAAGAATAAAGAGCATGACATTAATAGGTAAATGGAACGTGTCTTCCCCAGTGATAAAGTGAATCGAAGAATCAAGATGGTTCCAATGCAAGATTGAGATGCGTCCAGCAACTCTTTTATTAAGTCTTTTATTACTGATCGATTGCCTTTAGGTCATGCTTTGGAATGCTTCTCTTGTGCAAGTGAAGTTTCATGGGAAGATTGCGAGAAAAATATCAGAAACGGAACTTGTGCGCCCTATCTTGATAACTGCGCCAAGCTGTATGCCAGAGGAAACGGAGAGGTTTTTGCACGGGGATGTGAAACCTCCGATGAATGCTTCAATAAGCTGACGTGCAAGGGTTTAGAATTGAATGAATGCAATCTTCACTGCTGTAAAGAAAATTTCTGTAACAGAAGTGCTGCTAAGAAGACGAACTATCTCATTTCAGTGTTGTCTCTAGTAACTAGTATAATCGCCAAATATTGCCATCAACTATTTCACGAGTCATAAGAACTGTTCAAGACAATTTAAGGTGCCCATTGCGTACATCATTTTTGCCAGTATACGTTGTTACGCCGCAAAACGTAATAATCGCCACAAAATGTAATATTAACGCAAAATGTAATAAAAATCGCCGCAAAGTGTAACACTAACGCAAAATGTAATAAAAAAGTCAACGCAAAATGCATTAACTTTTCAATGCAAAATGTAATAGTTTTTCTAACGCATATTGTAATAACGCAAAATGTAATAACTCTCGAACGACATGTACGATATCTTGAAACAAGTGTTATGACTCGGTGGTAAATCGGGTTGTAACCCCTTCATACTCGCACAATTGTTAACTCCAGAGATCATATGTTTCGAATAAGCGCCGTGTTGTTATTGAAGGGTGTGGTGATTGGAATATATGGGTACAGTCATTTCTGGCCTTGTGGACACCTCCCTATTTCGGACACCCCGCTAATATGGATAGCTGCTGAATCCCCGGCAAAATCAAAATTATAGACTTTTGATTACAAAAAACATCCGTTATCACGGACTCTTGCTTCTACAGACCTAACCGACACATGTCTCGGTCCTGACAGTTCAATTCTACTGTTCTAACTTTCGTCATAACGGACGAGCGGCATTTAGACAGTGTTCTGCGACATTTTGTAATAACTACGCATTTTGTAATACCTTACGCATTTTGTAGTAAGAGTTGCAGCATTTTGTAATTACCTGCAGTATTTTGTTCTAAATACAAACGACGCATTTTGTAAAAAGTGTTGCAGCATTTTGTAATGAAAGTTAGTCTACGCAATTTGTAATAACGTGGTGATGCAAATTGTAATAAGTCTCTTCACGCGATAATGTCACGAAGCATACAGATTGGCGGGATTCCCTTCAACAATATAGCTTGTCAAATGCTCTTTTTAAGCAGATATCGGGAGCTAAACGACCCACATACTTCTATGTAAATCTATCTTTTCAATAAGCATGTGGCATAATTTTAGCCCGAAAGGTGTA